CTCCCGCTAAGTCTTGTGCATTTGCTTGACTTTATTGGAATTTTCTCTCATTTTCAGCTTCATTAATCTTTTTTTCAAATTCACTTATCCACTTCCTTTCTGAACTTCTGGCTGTGATAATAGGTGTTGTTTGTGATATTAAATTTTCTTACCTCTTGGGTTAAGTTCGTTCTATATCAATCTATTGGCACACTGGATGTCTACACTTTGGCTAGCTTTCGTTTAACAAATCTAAATCCAATCAACCTTCTAATATCATAGTATCATTACAGCTACCATGTTATTTTCCCTGTTAATTTCTTCAACTTCAACAATAGGCGTTGTAATGGTTTCGGTTCAATTTGAAACCATTTTGTAATTAATACCAATTTTTTCCACAAATTATATAAAAGACAAATCTTCTTTTGGTTCACTCATATTTTGTTAGAGGAATAACAGATTTTAAATTCGCGTAGTTTATTTTTTCTATTAAATTCTCTATATACAATTAAAATTTTCTTTAGTGAAGTTGCAGGTTTTGACAAGTTCACGATTAGTTATAGTGTCAGTTCGTAGTCGCTAGTTGATTTTTCTTAAATTATATCCTTGGGTTAATCAGTAATTTTAGCGCATTCCACAAAATAAAAAAAAATGCGCTATTGTGGCCACTTTTGTCCGTCCTCGCTCATTTTGCGACGCTACTAGTTCTTTATTCTTAAGAGCTATTGTTCTACTTTTTTCGCTATTTGGTTTCGTTATCTGGTGTCGAGTCTTGTACCAAGGAAGGAATTTTTTCTTTACCGCTTACAAAAAAAGTTATTGTAAAAAAACAAAAAACCGTTTTTTTACATTGTTCCATTAATTTTATACTTTTGCCGTTTATACGATCCTAGAGATCGTTTATAATTTTTGCATTGCTATCTGTTCGGTTGCATGTGGTCTGTCCGGGTCTGTCCTTGTCTGTCTGTCCATCATCTGTCCGTTGTGGAACAATAACTTGTTTAGAAGATGTTCGATCGCTTTTACATCTCCGTTAGTTATACTGAATTGCATGAAATTCAATATGGGCATAGCTTTAGCCATGATATACGGCCATGCCAAAAGTTGAAATGAATCGATTTCAAATTCACAGTGCCGTTTCGCATCATACGACCATTTATAAACCGAATTGCAAACTTTTTTAACGTTTAAAAGTATTTTGGAATGAATTTTGATACATAGGCACTTGTAATAACGAAAATCAAACGCAATTTTTCAAATTTGGTTTTGCGCATGCCAGTTGCAACTTTTTTATTTAGGAAGAATTTAAATGAAAATTTGATACATAGGCACTTGCGGATAAGGAAAATCAAACGCCAGTTTCAAAATTTGTTTTGCGCATGCGTAGTGCACTTTTATTTAATGGAAGAATTAACGAAATTTGATACATAGGCACTTGGAATAAAGGAAAAGTAAACGCCATTTCAAATTTGGTTTTGCGCATGCGCAGTGCCACTTTTATTTTATGAAGGATTTAAAACGAAATTGATACATAGCACTTGGATTAAAGGAAAATCAAACGCAGTTTCAAAATTTGGGCTTTGGCAGCGCGTGCCAACTTTTTATTTCATGGAAGAATTAAATGAAATGTGATACATAGGACTTGATATAAGGATCATCGAGCGCCAGTGTCAAAAATTTCTTTTGCGCATGCGCAGTTGCAACTTTTTACTATGGCACACATTTAAGTGAAATTTGATACTTTGGCGCTTGGAACAAAGGAAAATCTAACATTAGTTTCAAAATTTAGGTTTGCGCATGCGCAGTTCCAACTTTCTTATTTAGAAAGCATTGAAATGAAATTCTTCTCATAAACTGAAATTGAAGTAGCACGTCAACAATGGATTGACCATGTGCAACGCTATCTTTCATATTTGTGGCCGGATTTTTACGATTTTAACAGAAGTTGCATCTTACAAATGGGAAATGAATGCAAGTTGAAATGCGCTTTATGTAAATCGTTTTGCGATTCACTTTTAACTTGTACTTTATTGAATTATTGTCTGTGATTTGAAATGGATACAGTACCCAAGTTCTAAAAGCATATCTTAACTAGTATCAGTTATACAGAATTAATAACCGTATCTAAAGAGGAGAAACTTTTCCTTTTTTTTTAATTTTTGCACTATTATTTCTCTAATTTATGTTTCAACGGCTTTTTTCAACCTTCTTATAATGGTTTAAATATCTACAATCTAAAGGTGAAGCGACATAATGGGTGCGTTTGGCAACACAAGCACACCAAGATTATTCCATTTTTCGAGCAAAATTCATTAAGGGCATTGTTAGTGGAACTTACATGCCATTCTAAAAGAGGAATTACGGGCGTAGGAATATAGAGTTCTGGAGAGCCAAGGGTGGAAAATTTAGGTATGTACTCAAAGAAACTTTTCAACAGTATCCACCCATTTTCCGACTTTTCCTAAACCCCCTTAGATTGGCAGTGTTGTAATAGTTACCTTTTTTTTAGTATCTAGATACAGATACAGGTATCACATTAAAAACATACCTAGATACAATTACAGGTACATTTTTGATAAAGTACCTAGGTAAAGATACAGGTGATAAAAAATGTACCTGACATTTTTTAGGTACATGTAGGTACTTTTACGTAATCATAAAAAGACATTTATTAATTTATTCTTTATTAACAGTTCTTAAAGTTAACAATGCCTCAAATGTCTCATCTGACAATCGGTTACGCCTTGGCGTCAATATTTGCCCCCCTGCACTAAATAGGCGTTCAACAGCCGCAGAGGAAGGTAAAATAGTATTATACATTTTAAACATAGTTAAAATAATATCGTAATGCATTAAAGATCTTAAATCTTTTGACTTATCATCGAAATATTGCAAGCATTGCATTTGTACTTGATTTTGGTTACCATCATCTGTCTCATTGAAACTTTCTTTCTTTAAAATAGTAAAAAAATCGTCTTTACTATGACTATCTGAGGAATCATCGCCAGCATATTCACTATTTTTAAAATTGGCATCATAAATTTTTTGACATTCGTTCACAAATAAGGACTTTATACGCTCGTTACAGCTATGAGTTTCATCACTTGAACTATTTAGCCATCTTAATTTAAATTTTGGTATTGAAATTGTTGCTAAAATGTATGGTTTTGAAGCGCTAGTTCTAAAATCTAATATAGACTTATATCTAATATTAATACCATTTAGTATTGCATCTCTTAAAGGTGCACAATACCTCAAGTGAGTCAAACTATTTAAACTTGATTTGATTTGAAAAAGTGTTGGAAGAATATACCCTAAATAACAATTTGATTCACCTTGTAACACATCAATGCCCAATGCAAGTGGCTTCATAACCGTAACATATTCATGCATAAATTCCAACTCTACGTTCTTAAAACGTACTTTCCCTAGTTTGTCAGAAATTGCAGGTAAATGTTCCTTTAAATATAAAACACGTTGCACACTGTCATAGAAAGAGTTCCATCTAGTAGGAGAAGGCACTAACAGTTTTTTCCCACAAATTTGTTCCACTTCATCTGAAGCTAAAGTGGACCGATGAACATAATTCCACAAAGCCGTCAACTTTGCAAAAGATGAGTTGTGAATCTTTTTAACGGCACCATCTTTTAATGCTGCTTCACTATCCTTAGTAGCTACTAAGTTGAGGGTGTGTGATGCACAACGATAATGTGGAGGTAATGATATTCCCAAATCTTCATCTTCATCAACTACTTCAACATCTTGTAATATGTCAGAGAAGTCAGCAATATCGTGAATTGTCACACCTTTCGGTGCTGTCCATATCTTCTGGTAATGAATATATGCGCCTGCATGCTAACACAGTCGAATGGCGAAGTAGGTTATTATCCAAATAATGGCACGTAACACCAAAGTAGGATTTGTTATTGGCGCTCCAAATATCAGGCGTTGTGCAAACATACGGAATAGATTTTAA